GCCCTTAGAGTAGGGGTAATTATTTTGCCTTTAATATGTTGTGTTTTGCAAATTACGCGAAGACACGTGTGTTGTGCCACCTGAAGTAACAGGAGAATGATTTTTAATAATTAATAATTAATTTGTACGAAATTGGTGAAGTCGTTAAATCAACTTAAACCCAAATCATATCGAAACTACTAGCTTGAAGTAGTCATTCATATGTAGGTACTATTGGAAAAGCATATTTCGGCTTAATGGCCAGGAAGGTTCTGTATATTACGCGGGAGTCTGCCCCCATATGTCGATTTCAATTATTGATTAATAGTTATTCTTCACTTTTCCTTAAACAATGTCTCTCTTCAATCAAAGAAGCTTGCTTTTTTTTTTTAAATATTGGCTGTGATGTCCCTCTTGCCCCAATAAAGAAAAAACGCACTTTTGAAAATTGAAGGGTATGCTATTTGTTTTATAATTAATTTCATCAGTGCATTACAACTGCTTCGTCTTTTATATGCATTTATTTGCAAAATTCCAATTTTTGGTACAGTTAATTGTTGCCAATAAATCTATTTTAAGCTGATTTTTATTGCTTCACAAGTTGGGGGTTTCTAAAATATATTTACTTGAAATTTTCTATTTCCAAAATATCTTCTCTAAGAATTGCAATTCGTAGGTACTTCTAAAGTTTAAATTAACTTGCAGAACTACTAAATCAATTTAAGCAAAGTATTCTTCGTGTAGTTTTCTTTCTTGATTCTATAGGTTAGCTTAGTCTTAACGTCTATAAATGTATATTTGATAAATCATGTATCCATTATAAGAGTTTATCTTCGACTGTCAGAGAAAGAAAATTCGAAAATGCCAAATACTTTGACGGAAAAAGAAAGAGCTAACATTAGATTCTTTCTTATAAGTAACAAAAGAAAGTCATAACTTGCTCTTCTAATCAATAAGATCAACTCTTTTATGCTCCCTAGACACAACAAAATATTATTAAATTTTTTCTTTAGTATGTATTTCATTTAATTTACTTACCGTTTCATCTATACAATAAGTAGTTGCAGACATCCATCGCCACAAACCTGAAATGCCTTCGCTTAGGGTATATAAATGTATAAGAAATAAAAGGAAAAGGCAAATGGAAAGGTGAAAATTGCATTAACCAGAAGCAGAGCAGCAGCGAGCGCTGCTCGGTTGAGTGCCGGCTACTTAGTAATGTTTGTGCAGCAGCATTTTAGGCGCTTAATTGAGCATTTTAGTTATGCTAATTGCAGGGGCCGAGCAAGCAACCTTTCCTTCTTATATTTTTTGTTTTTGCTTTTGTTTTTGTTGTTGCCACCGCCAGCAGGCGCAGCATTTATTGTCGTCATTTGTTATCGGCTTTCACTGAGAAGGGTATGGCGAGCATTAAGAGGAGAGGACAGCACAGGGGGCGGGGCAATGATCATTAATGGGTGGCAGCAGGTGACAGTGAGATGTGGCAGTGGGCGGATGTGGACACACAAAATGCGTCTAATTAATTATACTATGTGGAATGCGGCCAGGTGGCCAACAATTGCCTGCAGGACTAACGATTTTGTTTTTTTTTTTATATCAACAACGCTTACAAAACTAAATTTTTACTGCTCGAATATATAAATTAATTAATTACTGCCGTTTATCATTTTTGCTAAAAAAAAAAGAACAATAAGTACAAGGAAATATTTCAATTATGTAAAATGTAATTATACAAAAAAGAGTAGCATATTTGTTTTAAACTATTAGAAATAAATATATGAATAAATATTACAAAAAAGCCTTCACATAATCTGGCAGCACTGTATCAAGCATCAGGTGATGTTTCCTTCTTATTATTTAATTACTCTTTTGCTCTTCAGTGGTATATTATTCCATACCCTAAGCATACAATTTTAATATAATCAAATTAAACGGGCTAAAACATTGTTTTTAAATTCTAAAATGTTAACAATACATTATCAGCCTTTTAAGAATTGGAAGGAATGTTTACAGATTTGAAACAAGTTTTCTTTAGTCTTTAGTTGAAGATATTGTGAAATAAAACACGATTGACTATTTATATGTTCAGTTAATATTCTAATTTGAATTTCATCAAATTAAAATTAATTCTGAGCTATCGGTTCAGCGTAACAATCAGGTGTTGTTTACTGGTTAGTTACTACTCAGCTATTGGTCGCTAGTTAACCACTGATAACGGCTTAACTATAAGTTATTAGTCACTATCGATTACTGGGTGTTCGTATTACTAATTATGACATTGCTACAATACTATATACTCGCAATCATTTCGATATTTAAAACAAATTATACCTACAAAGATTTACAGTCCTTTTGAAAAATAAACTCACACACATCTTTCTCTACTCTCCATACATAATCTTTTAATGCCATTCAGCTTGCTCAAAAGGAACATTAAAAGGCAAAATCAAACATTAATGTCCAATGGTGCAGCAGTATGTGGAAAATCAACTAATTAAAACTGCACGGCGACATGCAAAAAGCATTGCCTAAAAGCTTCTCTGACGCCACAACGCCACAAAATCTGGAACGCAATTTAACAAAACGAGCAAATATTTTCAAAGCAAACACAAACTCTGCTGGAAACTTTTTAAACAAAAAACAAAATTAAAATGAAAAGGTGCAACTACATCCATGCTTTAGTTATTTGATTTAGTTTATAAAAGGAAGGAAAGAAAAAAAAATATATTGAAAGTAGAGAAGAGAGTGCCATTAACGCACGTATGCACAACTGAACGCACGCAGACACCTACACCTGCCATCGCACACACACGCACATGCAAACATACGAGTATTGAATGCTGTAACAAAAATGAAAGGCAGGGGGGGAGTGACCAAGTGAAAAGCCAACATCAACTGACTGACAAAACCTCAACATGCCACTAAAAGCATAATCATGCACTTAACTAAAGCCAACATGAAGTTTATGTGTGATGTCGCTGTGTGTGTGTGCGTGTGTGTGTGTGTGTTGTAAGCCAGTCAGGTGTGTGTAACTGTGCTTCAGGTGTAACGCACGTAGAACTTAAGTCATCATCATACAAATAAAAATTTATGATTTAAAATGTGTGCGTGCTTTGCGGTTGTTTGTGTGTGGTTAACCAGAAATGTGAGTCGATGTTTGTGTGTGTGAGTGCATTTTTCTTTTACAGGATTTGTTGCAAACTACAGTTGCCAGAAATAGACAACTGATGCAATTTTGACAAGTGCTTTTCCAAATCTTTCGCAAGCCCTTAGGCATTTCAAATTGCTGCTCTTAGCGTGAGAGCTTAACATGATCGATTCACATTTTATCTCTATTTAACTGCTTAATTTTGAAGTCTCTTGTAACCGAATAATACACCCATTTCGTTACAAAGTGGCAAAGAAAAGAAAGAAGAGTAGTTTACAGTCGGAAAGGCATATTTTTTACATATAATTAAAGCTTTTTTAAGCTCTTATATATCCCAATATCTAAGAAACAAATGTGGTTGCCAGGAATTTCCAAACAGTTCTATTCACCAAGGAAAAACCTAATTCGTTTACTCTCTGAAAACTGATGAACTTATTGGCAGCGATTAAAAGTGGCATTGCAACATTAGTGGCATTTCAGCAAAAATAGCATTTCTTAATGCAGCCATATTATTAATGGCTAGGAAATGCGAATTGTTGTTTAGAAATTCCTCTCCTTGAACATGTCCTTTTAACAAACACATTTGACAGAAGACTCATATGAAAGCCTGACATTGTTGCTAAGCAAACAACTTAACGATAAGCTTAAAAAGATACAGGAACAGTATACTCAAGCCAGTCAGGATATATAGCGTCAGATGTGGATAGATATTTTAAAAAATATAGAACTAAGGACAATTTGCATGAGCAATAAGGACATAATTACATCATAGACGAAAGAACACAGCTCAGCATGGAAAAGTCACCCAAACAACCACGCCATAAGTTTTCTATATGACAATACATCTTTAGATCACAACTAAAGAGACTTCACCCATCAGGTATGCTTTTAAAACATTCAACTAATACTCCAATCTTCCCATTAATCTATCAAGAAGCCTCTTGGTATGCTCATCATTTTAAAATTTAAATATCAATATGTAGCTAAAACATAAATATTGAAATTATTGGGAAATTATTATTAAATTTAAAAGTATGCTTTGGAGATTTGCACTTTCAGCATAAATGAAATATATTTTACTTTATAAAATGGTAAAACAAAAAAATATATAAATAAATTAATAAATAAATAAATTTCAGCACAGTTGCCAAGGCAAGTGGCTTTTTAATAAAACAAAAAAATTAGATCTGTCTAAGCGCATTTATTTAATGAAATACATTTTTCTTTGTCACTTAATTAAAAGGAACCTGTATTTGGATATTTTTGTACTTATAGATAATAAATAAAACTGCTCTCCAAAACTAATGCCAACTTGCTTTTTTTGTATTCAGTTAGCATTTCGTTGATACTTTGGTTGCGTTAATATTTCAAAACAGCAGTGTGGCTTTGTAGAAAACTAAAGGTGGCACATATTTCCAGAAAAAGATGACACTTTCAGGCAATCGATAGACACAATTGGCATACTTATTACAAGTCTATAAACAAATGGCAATGTTTAAAAAAAATTTACTTCATTTGATTGACACTATTCCCCATTATATTACATTTCATTTCATTTATTAACAAAAATTGGCTCATAAATTGGTTTGTATCTATAGTCTTAGTTATTAATAAAGAGTACAGGTTATAAAACCATATCAATATACAAGTATATTGTGTTTTTAAAGTTTATGAGTGAACGGACAGTTTCTAATATGTAATAACAGTGGGAGAAAAATTTAATCAAAAACCCATATTCCACAATAAAATTTTGAAAAACGAATGAAACGAAAACGAAATTGAAACAGACTATTAAACACTGGATCTGACAATACTATCGATTATATTACTAACCTGGCAGCTGTATTAGACACGTAGTGTGCGCCGAATTGAAGTAGTTTTTGCGAAATATAAGACCAGTTTTTTCTATTCAATTTAGAATATGGATAACATAAGGCGACCGAATGATTTGGCGCGTATGGTGTTGGGTGAGTTGAGTGCGAATGCAATTACAAGAGCGCACAAATGTTCGTAAGTAAATACTTACCATATTCTATTCATTATATTCAGGTTATCTTGAAAAGGAGAGGCTCAATAGAGCTGCTGAAATTTTTATAGAGACTTCGCCGTACCTTAAGGATGAATTCAATGCCTTGAAGCAGGGACAGAAGATACACAATTTTCTCGAAGGCAAACTAGAGGAGATCATTAGGGAACATATGAAGATAACTGATATTGGTTAGTGTTGTGTTAGAACTAGCTGTGTAGTCACTAACTTGCGTTCTTTGCAGTTAACAACAAAATGAAGACCTTACAGGTGGACAAGTTCGAGCCCCTGCAGGCATTATCTCTAGCGGAGCGCGTTGGAATACTAATGCAGTGCACTGCTTCAAGCACTATTTCCATTAATGAATCGGCTGATGATCGCTCTGCAGCGACGTTAACGAACCTGTGTGCTGAAGTGAAGCAAAAAGAGACTATTGGGTAATTATATTGGCCCGATGCTACATTGAAAACATTGAACACTCACAGCCACATCTCTTCTCTAGTACGGAGCGCAAGAAGATCAAATTATCCATTCATAGCGAGAGAGCTGCTGGGGATGTTCACAAAAGCGCAGAGAATAGCGGTCAGGAATCAAAAGCGAACAGAGGCACCCTTTTAGACTCTACAGAGAACTCTAAACCTCAAACTATTCAGGTGAGTTCTTGTAGAAACAACAAAATGTTAAACGATGAATCATTTTTATTTGCTTCCACACAGCCTTTGCCATCCAATGGTAATTTTCCAGTTAAACTTGCTAGCAACTCTCTGACCTCACAATCAATTGTTGATATCAAGGCTCCGTTGCATGGAAACTTCACAAAGACTGCACAGAGTACACCAGAAGGTGAGTGAAGCCTTTCTTTCTGCCTGTAAATCTACCCCAATTCTTTTTCAGATCTTGTGGCTACTGGCGTTGCTTCTGCCCATTGCATTGCCTTTCAACCTGAGACTCTAAAAGCTGAGCTTACCCCAAATATCGAGAATGTTCAAGACCAGTCCATGGAGTTCCTTCCATCCCCCTCTGACTCGATAGAACATGTAAGTGCCCGTACGCGGTCATGGGATAAGCCACACAAGGTGTCCGAAGGCCGGCGGCTGAGGTCTCAGACAGCCGCTCAGGCAAATACAAATTGAAGGCAGATCGCTAATTAATATAATCATCATTATAGCTATTCAAGAATAAATTAAATCACAATCAATAACGCCAATTCAAAAATTATCATATGAATAAATAAACGTCATTTAATTGTATCACTATTTAGTTGAATACTGTTCCAGATTGGTAAATGCAGAAACAAAAGGGAAATCACGTTTATAATTAAATGTTAATTTAAATACGAAATATGTTTATTACTTATATGAAAGGTTTTTTGTCTTACTCGAATAGTCTACGACTTTCTAAGGAAATCATCTGTTTCGGTTTCAGTTTCAATTGCTAAAAGTATTATCAATATTTCCGTCGTTAAGAAATTTTGTGTATACAAAAATTTAAAGTATTCCTGTTCTACAAAATATAGTCATATGTAATAAATATATATCGGCTTTAAGGCTTAAAATAATGATTATATAAAGCTGTTAACTACATATTATTATTCACATTAGCACATAAGTTCAAAGATTTGCTTACCTCCTTATTTCATACAAAAATTAATCTAAATATATGATTTTAATTATCATTTACTACCGGGGCTCCAAAAAAGCAAAATGAAACTTTATTATTTGGGGCATCATTCAATCATGCTTAATTTGTTGTTGAATTTTAAATAAATGCATAATTATGAGACCAGCGTGCATAAATTCAACATCCAAGGCTAAAATTCAATTTGCATAGCCTAAAAAGCCAAATAATAAAACAAACTCATGAGACAGAAATTGAAATTATTAAATTAAATGCGCCGGCAGCGACAAACAATAACAAAACAGTTATTAGCCCATAGACACGCACATGTTTCAGTACAAGTATATTTTTAAATATACTATATATGCTTATTTAGCAATCAGTTAAGCGCACGTCTAATGAAGTCAAATGTGGTTTTTATTCACGCAGTTTGGTTTTTGGCCGAAATGAAGCAAAAGAAGAAGAGGTTCGGAGCTTACGCTTATCGTCTTCTGCCAACAAACAGCTGCTCAAATATTAAATAGTAAGCGCCTGCTGTCTGCCAATACAATTTAAATAAAAACGAGTACATGAATGGCTTAAAAAAAAGAAGCAAAAATGTTATTTTCGTCTGAGCCGAAGCTATATACTCTACAATACTCGATTCCTTTATGATCATGGTGCGCGAAATACATTTTCTACTTTTCTGACGTACACTTCGACAAACTTACACTTTTCATTATTCACAGTAATAAGAATAAGCTCCTCATTTAAGTTGCATTTATATTTAGCTATAGGTTTAATTGAAGTTATTTAAATAACAGTAAAGTAAAATGAAAAATGAAAAAAATTATTCAAAGTTTTGCCCGTTTAATTCTTTTATTATAAACATTACATAAAAATAGTACGCTTTCAAAAAATAAATTTAAAAATTATATTGCATCATCAAATAAGGTAAATAATTTGGAAATGGAATAAAATATAATTTAAAAAAAATAACAAGAAAATCGTAAGACGTGATTCGATTCATTACATTAACTCATTTAAATGAATATAACAGTGTTTTGGTCGCTTGGGAATAAAAGAGATACTCTTCTATCTAGTAGGCATCATTTTTACAATTCAAAATGTTTTATTTTTTGATAAAACGAAGAATTTGAGTAACAACTAAAACAACTTTAGAGCTTTTAAGTCTCTCAATGGACATGAAACTGATTTCTTTTGATTTCAAAAAATGCTCATACTTCATATGGGTTCAGTCTGCTGTTGGCAATAACCGAAATACCTTTTTAAAAGGGTATGCTAAAAAGAAAAGAACTGCTGTCGTGGCGCATATGAAAACTTGCACCTGTTTATTTTTAGTCTTTTCGTTGTTGAATAAATATTTGATTAAGCATATCACACTTTCGATTTTTTTTTTTTTGGCGAATGAGATTTTTGGTCCATATGTGGTTTTATTCCATAGGAACATATAAATGAAGTCATGTGTATGTGTTTATATGGCAAGTGATTGTATGGTGTGGCTAACATTTGGTTGACTTTGCCTTTTGCTTTGTGTTGGGATTGTTGCTCCTGTGCGCCTTAAAATATGCAATGACAGTGACAACAGAGGCGCCGACAGGAGCTTGTCATGGTTTCTGGCGCTGTCGAAATGTGACGCCCGAGTGAATGGCGTCTAATGAATGGACACCGAACACATATGCGTATACAGGAGTGTTTATTTGGATTCCGTTTGCGTTAGTTTTTGCATGTTTTCGATTCCATTTCGCATGCTAAAAGCAGGCTGTGCAACTTTTTCAAAATACCTTTTTTTTGGGCCATTTATTTCTCTCTCCTATCAGACTTGTACCTCTGTGCTTTTGGGCCTTTGTGAAAAGCGAAAATAAGTATAAACATTTGGTAGACATTGTGAATATTCGTTGCCTTTGCTCCTCTTTGTCGGCTTGATCTAATAAACTGACATGGTCTAATGAAGTTCTTTAAACTCGATAAAAAATATGTGCTTTTTTAAAATTTATTAATGGATTCTGGCATAGTGCAACGAGTAGGCAGAATTAGGCACGCGGCTTGAATCACCCCGCAACCCCTATGACAAAGGTATGATTAAAAAAATGTCAAAGGTTTCATAAAAGGCTTCATAGGATAGAGCTTAAATTAATTAATTAAAGATTTACAAAAAAAATAATGCAAATTATATTTAATTGTACAGTTTTTATTTACAAAGACTTAAATAAAACTTATGGAATATTTCTAGTACAACTTAAAGCAGAAGCTGAGTCTTATTTAATTACCCTTTTCTGATTTTGATGACATATTGATGGTTCAGCTCTAATGGATAAACACTGAACATTAATGATCGATTGATCAGCAAAATACATGATATATATTTATAAATGCATATGTATGTATGTACTTTATTGTAATTATAGATTGATTAACACAGCTAGACCCTTCTAACTCAATTGATATTAAATAACTCTTTTCCCACATTTGACTTACAATAAAAGCTCCTGAAACCGAATGAAAATAGCTTTAAGGACTGCTGGAGTGGTGTAAGGAGGATTTAAAAATCATATCCATATATGTGCTGTACTTTTCATGCCTTTCATTACAGAATTAATTAGTGGAGTTTTGACTTTTAAAGCAAAAGCATTTGTGTTGCCTAGCATCCGAAAATAGTTGTACTTTATTTTATTATAATTCATTTAAATTAATTTTCTTATTTTTATTTTTCATCCCTTTCATTATAGTATTAGTTAGTGGATTTTTGACTTTTAAAGCAAAAGCATTTGTTTTGCTTAGCATCCGCAAACAATTCTTCTTTACTTTATTACATTTGATTTAAATTAATTTTGAATGAAAATACGCACACCAAGTCGCTGTTTTCCCCCGCCTATTTGTAACTTTATCTGTTTATTTGAATGTCTCGTTTTTCACTATCTATCCTAACCCAAATTTGTTTATTCCAACCTACTCGTATCTAACTATGTTACTTACATGCTGCATTTCCGTCACACTCAGCGACCACATACAGCCACAGAACGCCCCTCAAAGTAGTAGAGCCCCCAGCGTGTAGTTTTTCTGTTTGCCTTTGATTTTGATTTATGTTGCAGTAAACAGAAGCAGCAGTGGCAGTGGAAGCAACAACAGCAACAGCAGCAGCAGAAACAGTGACAGCGGCAACCTCATTTGCTACTTTGTCGCATCATTTCACCACAGACAGGGACACAAGCGAGGATGCAGACGCAGGCCCAGACAGAGAGTGCTAAGAACCCTGCAGCCCCCAAACCAAACCAAACCGAACCAAACCCAACCAAGACAACCAACGTACCGCAGCAGATGCCAAACGCATGCCAGTTACATTTTCTTTTGGTTCTGGCGGGGTCTGTGATTTTTTTCTTCCTGCATACCAAAGCCAAAAAGCCTTGCCAAAGCTTGTGGCGGCATGTGTGTGTGTGCCTCCTCGTCGCTTCTCACATAATTGCGGCGATGTCGCTGCGGTTGTGTGTCTATTTCTGACTGTCTCTGTATTTGTATTTGCCTCGTTTACTGTGAGTGTTTACGCCTTATAAAACGCAACATTTTTAGCCAGTCAGTCGACATTAGAAACGCATGGCAAAAACTACAAGTCGCACTTTACTTTTTGGCAGCAGCACAACTTGCTTTCAATGCCCCTTTGTCCCCTGCCTGCCTCCCCCACGTCCCCCATCTCTCCCCTCTCCCTTAACAGTCCCATCAACTTTGGCGACGCTGCTCTATTGCACGGCTCTGTGGAAAAAAACATGAGTGTTACGCTTTGTTTGACTAAAATTTATGTTGATGTTTCGCCTTTTTTCTCGCTCGAGCATTTTGGCAACGCGTGCTTGGGCGAATGACTCATCCGTTATCAACAGGGTGATCGGAATTATAATACCAAGAATTTGTTTTGAATGTAAGATTTGAAGAGTATACAAATATTTGACAACTTTCCTGTACTTTTCTGACAGACTTTTCATTGCAAATTACATGTCGATGTATATTTTTAACGAAACTTATGATAGATAGATCTTAATACGTTCTTATTGCTCCTTCTTTATATATTCTTATCTTAGAAAGTGATGTTTAGGGGATTCTAAATATAAACGAGAATCTTTTTATTGAATAACCACTGATATGTGGATAGAAGCAGCATAAAAACAAGCTATTTTTTAATGAATAAATAAATTATGAAAAGTAAATCTTAAATGCTCTACAGCCTCCCAGCGAAAGCCCCTATAATTTCCCTTTTTCTCGCATTCCCTCGCCTTTAAATTGTTTAAAAATATTTTCATTTCCTGGCAGTATCTTGTGTTGTGCCTGCGCTATTTGTATGCATTTCTCTATTTTGTACCGCTGGCACAATAATTCACAGCCTGACAACTCTATAGTGTTGACTCCTGACTGCTCCTGCTAGTCTGCCTGCCTGCCTGCCTGCCTGCCCGCCCGCCTGCCTGCTCAGCCATAAAATCCTTGTTTAACTTGGCAATGCTTGATAATTATATACGAGTAGGTTTTGGTTTTTTATATACACGCTTTGCCTCATGCGCTGCACTTATTAAAATTTATATGCTGGCAAACATTTTTATTATTTGTTGTTCATTATGAGGCCCGGCACTAAATTCTGTTGCTGTCAGTG